GGGGGGCGGGGCGGGCAGACGGAGGGCGGACAATCCCGGGTTGTCTGGGGGCCGGGGGGGGGCGCGGGCCGGCAATTCAGGGCGGGGGGGCGGGGGGTCAATTCAGAGCCGGGCACGCCAAATCTAGGAAGGACATCAAGGGCGGACGATTCGAATTCGCAGGGGCAGACAATTCGAGGCCGCGGGGGTTGCTTCTGGCCGGCCCCGAGTGAGAAGTAAAGATTCCTGATCCGCCAGCCTTGCGCGGAAGGCGAACATTCTGCGCCGCCTTCAAACAGCGACCTCCCTCCACGCCTCCTCTTCCCATTACCCCCCCCTTCCTCATCCTCCTCCTCCTCGTCGCCCTCCTTCTCCTCGCTTTTCTATCCCTTGTCGCCGTCCCCCTGCTAGTTGCTGTTCCTCTACAACTCATCAATATGATCACTTTTCCCCGTTCTCTCCTGACGCGCGCCGGCAGATTGCCCGCGCCCCTCCGCGCGCGGCATCTTGCATTGCGCGCAGGTTTGGCGCGAACCCATTTCTCAATTGGTTTTTGAATTGGAACGTGTTTGGCTCTCCCAGAAAAATGTTCCCGCTGCAGCGCTGGCCCCATGGTCGAGCTTCCGCTCGGTTCGACCCCCCCGCGCGCTGTTTTTTTTCGGGGGCGCAGAGGATCGGGGGGGGTGTTGTTCATATATGTTGTTCAATCCGAACTTCTTTGACCCTTCCGACGCGCTGCTGCCGCGGCAGCGATCGGCTCATTTGCAACCTCCAAGCGCCGTCCGCGAGGGCGACAGCTGGGCCGTCCTCGCTGTGGCCTTTGAATCGGGGACGGGAAACTGCATGAGCATGAGCTGTCGGCGGTCCTCCGTGGATTCCCTGGATCTGCGCTGGGGCGCCCGCGCGGCGCTTCCTGCGCCCCCTCTCCGCAGCCCCCCCCCGCGGCCGCGGGCGACCAAGCGAGCGCAGGAGGTCGAATATAATATCAGTTCCCGCAAGGCGGCAAAATAAAACGACAGGGTAACAGGCGGTTTTTTCATACATACATATATACATCGATATAGATATACAGAAGTGACCGGCGGCTGAATTCTATCAGTCTGCCCCGCGGGGGCGCCCCGGGCACGGGGCGGGGGGTATGGGGCATTTTCTTAATCGTTTGCCCCCGTCACTGCGGAGGTGGCGTCGCAGCCCTGGGCAGGGGGGCCTGGTCGATTCGCTCGACGACGGAGTTAGCGTCGTGGGAGATGTCTTTGCTGCGCTTGACGGGCGCCCTCATATTCCGCAACGCGCACAGCTGCATCGCCTGAGCTTGCGAACCGCAACTCTGGGAAGACACCTTATCCACGCTTCTCGCAGCATCGTCCTTACCCTTACCTTTGCGCGCCCTGTGTTGCAGATGCGCTTCGAAGTCTTCTTCGTCGAGGTTCTTTTCGCCGAAACCACCGCGGCGCGACTCATCCTCGCGCGCAAGCGGGGGGGGTCGATCCACTCCACGCGAGACCTCGAATCGTCATCATGCCCATGGCCAGCTCCTCGATCGTCATCTTCTGCAGTGAAACCGTATCCTGCGCCGGCTGGCCGAGCAGATCCTCCGGGCGTCTCAGGGCTGAAGGCATGGAATGTCCTTGCCAGAGGAGCAGAAGCTTTGCCCTTTCCCCGATGCAGGCATTCCTTCGCCAAGTGCTGGTCGATGTTGCAGACGTAGCACCTCATCGCGTTGCCCGTGCGATCCTTAGGATTGCCGCCGCCGCTGGGAGGTCCAGATCCTCGCCCTTGTCGAGCCTTGTAAGACAACACCAACAAGCGGCGTTCGATTGCCTCCGCAACCCGGATGAGCAGCTCCAACACCTTCGTAGTGGCATCCTTTTTTCCTAGCAGCCCGCGACCGCGATGCCTACCTCCGCACATGAAACCATTGCGCCCGTGTCTCCGATGGAAACGAGAGATTAAAACAACAACCTATATATATATATAACACTGCTGCCATTGCTTCCGAGACATATTAAACTCGCGGTGCAGCACATCGACATGTATCTCAGGGTCCACATCGGCAAGATACGCAGCTAGATCCTGATCTGGTCGATCGTAACTGTCCGTGCCCAACGACGAGCCGTTGTCCTCAGCAACGTAGATTTGCATGCCCAGAGTCATCGCGGGATACGACCAGGCAGCAAAAGAGGCACTGGGACCAGGAAGCCCCGCTAGCATAGCGGGATACGCAGATCAGCTCATCTGCCCCCCAAGCGTCGGGAAGAAACCACCAGCGTCCGACGCGTGAAATTGGCGGCCACCGCGTCCCAGGTTGACATGGCCAGAACGTGCAATCGCTCCTGGAATCCTGAACGCCCTCTCGGCCGCCCTCCTGATGCCATCCTGCATGGGCAGGTATCCTCGTCGCCAAAAACTTTGGAGAAGCGCCGCGAACTCCTGGTCCGCCTCTGGCAGCTTGTTGTCGTGGCCGTTCAGCAGCGTCTCGGCCCACCTTCAAGCCTGCGAGCAGCATCCTACCCCAGCCAGGAGGCCCCGGATTGAGCCCATGGTCCATGGCCCTTGACCTGAGTATCTGAAACCGATTCAACACCACTCCAATAATCTCATGAGGCTGCACGCTGAAGACCATCATCTCCGCCATGGCCCTGATCGCATCATCGCCGGCCACCAATGCGCAGTTGCGCGCCAACCCGCGAAGCAACACTGCCAGACCAGTGACCTCGCGCGGGCCAACGCCGTCTCCAAGATCGAGCATCTGGCCCTGCTGCAGCGTCTGCGCATCGGGCTCGTCCGCGAACTCTCGAGCGGCGCCTCCAAAACGAAGCGCTACAGCTGCGCCCTGCGCCTGCTCCGGCACCTCCGTGGCGATGGACCAGAACTTGACGTCTCGCAACCATCTGCGGAACGGGTAGCCTCCACTCCAATCAGGCGACCACGCCGGGGGCACCTTGGTATTCGCCATAATCTGCGCCTGATCTGCAAACGATAAAGGAACTGCCATCTCGAGTCGTGAATCGCAGACCTTGCCTGGAACTTGAATGTCGTGCTGAACTCAATAGTCTGTCACCGACCTTGCCGTAAGAAAGAATACCAAATTAAACCGACCGTCCTTCGCAGTCTTCTTCACGTACTCAACAGAAGTCACACTTAGAAGTCACACTCGCCAGAGAAACTGCATACCGATATTGACACCAACACTTCGTAGGAGTAGAACGGATGCAGAAAGACCAGCGGCAGCGGGAGTGGAGTAGCGCAGCGAGCCCAATCCGAAGATCGGGCTCCGCTACTAAGGTCGGGTGTGCGGCGTTGGGCGAAGCCGAGGGATAAGAGAATGCTTCTTTTTATCGTACAGCGCGCAGACCACGCGCACACACACAATTCTGTCTGGCTGGCCGCCTTGAACCGGGCGGCCGCGACGGGCGACGAACGGCTGAGCGGATCAGGGAGGGTCGACCGACATGTACTTCAACTGAAGGCGGCTTTCACTGGAACTCGCACGGCGGAAATCCATGCAGGAGGAGGCGGGGCTCGTGCTGGTACTCAAGGCACTGGAAGTTCATTCAGGAGGTAGGACTCACGCAGCGTACTTGCAAAGGAATGGCGGAGCAAAGGGAGAACGGGATCTTCTGACACTTGTAGCCTGGCGAAGGGACCGACTCTATGCAGCTGCCTGTAGCGCGTTGCATGGCCTTCGCTTCATCCGCTGCCCGCCTTGGAGCAGTGCGGATAAGGGACTGCAGAGCCACCGCGCCAAAGGCGGGCTGGACTCCCTCTGGGGCGTGGCACGCGATCCACGTGATGGGGGTGCTGAGTTGAACGCAGAACAACTGAAGAACACAAGACACACACACACATTCACACCCCAATACCTGCCCACATTTATCCCCAACCAACTTCAAGACGCATTTCCCCGAGTGCCCCTCAAGACTAGAGAGGACGCGTTTCGTGGACGCCTGACTGGAAAAAACAACCTTGACACGCTGGAACCGAGATTTCGTGGACACTTGCATGGAGCACAAACACCCCGACATTTATCATGCCCCCATGGTACGTAAAGACCAAATCCCCCAAAAACATTCGAGCACCTGGAAAAGTACCGAAACGGTGTCGAAAGAGCAACTATCGCCCTCCAAAGCCGGACGCGTGAAAACCCTCACGTTGCGGTACGTGCTTGGTGCTCGAAGATCCTTCTGGTGGTTCAGGCCTAAGTAAAGTTGGAAGGAGGAGGAGGAGGAAGAGCAGACGGAGGAGGAGGCGGAGGAGGAGGGACGAGGAAGGAGGAGGAAGAGGAGGAGGAAGATAACATCATGACTCGACACGTTGGAACCCGCGGGGCGGGGGGGGGCCCAACACACTGACTGAGCGCCCCTGGAGGCGCGGGCCACGCCCCCCCCTTGCACACCGGCCTCCCAAAACTGGGGCGGGGGGGGGCCGCTCGGGGATCATGTGACCCGGATCAATCCAGACCCAGTTCAGCCAGGCCCTGCAGGATGCTGCAAGATCCTGCAAGATCCTGCACCCGAGCCAGGGTCAGTGCAACCCTGGCCCTGCAGGATGCTGCAAGATGCTGCAGGATCCTGCGCCCAAGCCAGGGTTAGTGCAGCCCTGGCCCTGCAGGCTCCTGCAATATCGGGCGCTCTCACTGACCCCTGCTTGCGTTTACCCCGGTCTCTTGAGGAGCCCAAAGTCGCCTCCGAAAGGGGGGTCCTGGCCCCTCCCCCCCCTGTCCAAGTCGGGGGGGGGATTCGAACTGGGCCCAACCCGCCCCCCTGTCCACGGAGGGCGGGTTCGAACCCCTGGGGGCCCTCCCTTGAGGTGCAGGGGGTGGCGGTTGGAACCGCCCCACCCCCCCACCCTGTGCAAGTGGGGGGGAATTTCGAGCTGGTGGGGTGACCCCCACCTCCCCCTAGCAGAATCCTGCTATAGCTGGATCCAGCTCCGATTTAATCATACTGAGGCCTGATGCAACTCTAATGAACTTTTACAATAACTGGGTCCAACGTTACGTACCGGTATCCTGGTCGGGC